CTTTGAGCCTGGCACTATCCCTGAGTTTCTTTTGCTCAAAGATAATGCTCTAGAGCACCACTTCTGGCTTTTTCTGTTTATGTGATACTGAGGAATAGAACCCAGGGCTTTATGCATGCTAGGCAAACAGTCTACCATTAAGCTATATTCCCAAACTTTTCTGTTTAACTTTTACTTACACCTAGGACATATTGTAAGCCTCTATAGCATAGAAACAAATGCCAATTTTCTTTTTTAACATGGAATGACATAATACCACAGAAAAGAATTGGGGCAGAATGTTGTCCAAATAAAAAGGAAGGGATTTGTAAGACAGTCAGGACAGGAATGAGATGACAGAATTATGCCTAAAAATAGAAGATGAACCTGAAAAGATGATGACTGTGAACTACCAAATGTAATTTAAAAGTCAGAAAGAAACTTTTACTTCTCAACTCTATATGATCAAAACAGTATAATATTTTATATATAAATAAATACTCCAAGAAAAGGTACAAAATGTGTGGTACCCTCATAACCAAATGAATATATTATCTGGCTACTTCATTTCAGATGTGCCATAAATAAGGTCAGTCATAACTGAGCATCTAACAGGTTCTTTCCTCTTCATGACCTTGACCTACAATGTGAATTCCCTACCTTGTTAATGGTGTTCACAAACATCATATCACAATCTATCTATATCCATCTCAACAGGGCCTTTCATGACAGTCATTTAACTGGTTCGTAGATTCAATTTGATAAATTATACATAGTAGAATTTGATTATATTCAATTAAAATTATGATGTCATGCTTTATTGGTCCTCACTCATTTCATATCTATCTACAGAACTTGAAAATTGGATAGATAACCCTAAATTTCTTGAGAAATGGGAAAATATCACTATAGGTTTAGAAAGAACCACAATGCTTATCAATGTAGTCATTGAATAATTAACTATTCAACTAAATGTAACATAATTTTTCGTAATTTAATGAAATTTCTAAAGACTCTGAGAAAACAAATGCTTCATGGAAGTTTTCCTTATATTTATAGCTTTATTACGTACAACAAAAATTGTTGCAGTACTGAGTCTATGTGAATATTATTTAACAGTCCTCTACATTAATCTTACTGCTCTTTTTAGTACTACCTCTTAGCTTTATTACATTTTGATGCAGAAAAGTCTTTTTCTTTTTTACCATCTGACTGCACTGTATCAACTTTGAGAAAAAAATTGAAAAAAACATTAATGTTCAAAGGCCAGATCACTTAAAAGAGAAGATTGTTCTTTAGTTGTGGTTCCTTTGTAAGTGTTGCTTTTAGAAGTCCTGGAAAATGCCTTGATCACATCAGTAAAGTCACTAAAAATCCTTTTTATTTAAGTATATGAAGCATTTTTAAAAAGAATAAGGTCAAATAAAAACCATAAAATCATTCATGCTAGTAACTACATACATAGCTCCCAAGGACTTTTGTTTGCTTAAATATTTTTAGATTTTTTAAATTAGAATAAAATGATTTATTAAGCATGCATTTGTTTAATCAGTGTTACAAGCCAGACAGCACTTACATACTGAGAAATACTTTTTTATATGTAGTTTTTCAATTTAACAAACATTTTCTATTGACTGATAAGGCATACACCCAAACACAAATACATAACATCTGTTAAGATTTACTTATTAAAACTTAAAGAAATCCTATGGGATCATCATCAATTTTTCCTGGAGTACTTCTCATGTAGACATAAAATATCTGGAAACAATTAGAAAATATTAAAGTGCTTTGAAAAGTTTACTTGCTAATGAAATTTGCTATTTATAAAAGAATTAAATGTAAAAGCAAAGTAGGTGCATGTGAAGAGTAATGGAAAGCATCTCACAGCTGATTGTAAAAGTTAAAACAAAGCTGAGACAGACCTGTGATAAATAGACAAACTTGTAGGAAACAGTGTACTTCACTGACTATGCACTGACTTTGTCTAATACAAGTATACATCAATTATTTTATGCAGCTAATTTCACATTAAAATGACAGGAAACCAAAGAGGCTATGAACTACAACTTTAATACAAATTAAAGGTGAATAAATAATTGAATTATATTTGTGTTATAAAAAGAAAAAATACCAAGAATATAGGAATAGCTGTGGTATTTGTAGAATAATAAATATATCATACTGGATATATCTTCTAATATCTTCTTAAAAGTTATAATACATTTTTCACATAGATGTAAAATTCCACTGGAGGTAAGTTAGATGCTGTGTCTCTTGGAGTTTAAAAGACTTCCCATATGAACTGAATTATCCTTGACTAGTACCTTCAAATACTTGTAATATGATCTCATGTAAATTTAGAACATATTTTGGACACAAACTATTAGTGAAAGCACTTTTATTCAAGATCTCAAATAAAATGGAAAAAGCCTAATTTCATTAATCATATGTAGTATGTAGTAATTTACATGAAATTTCCAAAATGAAAACAAAATAAAAAATAAATAAAATCACCTAATGCATCATAGTAAAGAACAACAAAATGCTTCAAAAATGTTAATTTTCCCTTACTTTTTCCAATCTGTAGCTGTCTACTCTCTACAAAAATTCTGATTTTCCAATGGTTTATCTAAATTTGGGGATTAAAAACATACTCTAAGGAAATAAATTAACTAGAAAATTTCATTTTCATTGAAAATTTATTTTCATCAAGAATTCAGTCACTGTGGATATCTCAGGTGTATGTATAATATTGCAAAATATTTTCCTCATTCTCATTTTAAACTATTTTTATGAATACTACTACTGATTATCACCCTGTGGAGCTATACAATACTTTCATAGGGCTAACCGAAAAAATAAAACAAAAAGTACTCAGAGGCTTTAAGCTTTAAAGATTCATCAGTTTTGCTTTCTGCCTTGGCATGAAGATAGCTTACAGAACTTTGCTAATTCTACAGGGATCAACTCCATTGTACAAGAGATGCATTAAAGCCCACAGAAGAGAACACTACTTTCAAGAAAGCTATGCCAAGCAATCTCCATAGCATCATTAACTCTATTTGTATTTACATCTCTTTATGAGAGATCTGCTACTGCTAGGTTTGTCCTGCTAATGAGTGCAAGAATATAAGTCATCATGAATTTGAGAAGCAGACAAAAATGGTAGGTTATTTTTAAAAACTTTGAAGACATGTCCATTTTTTTCCAGTTCTCAAGACCAAACTTTTAAAGCATCCAGAGATAAACTAATGATCTACAATGGTAGTTTACAAGCCTGATTTCACAGTAAACGCCTCCCATCCAAATTGGATAAAAGAAATCATTTGTTTATTAAAAAATTTTATGAAAGCAACATTTTGGTTTTACAGAAAATAGTAAGATAATTGGGGCTAATTTTTTTGCAAGCACACTTCTTTAAGTCTCTTAAATGAAGTATACTGAATCACTGAACCACTTGAAAAAATTTAATTGTTCAAGGTGTTCAAACACACTGAATTATTTTAAAAATTGAAGTTAAAAATAATCTGAGAGACATGTTTATAAGACAGCTTTGCTGAACACTAAAAGAAAGTGCACTGCATAGAGAGCTTAAATTTCTCACTCTTCCTTTCAATCAATATCTGAGGCAAAGTTTCATCTCTAGGGCCCTTAATGGCAGGAATTCCTGGAGCCAGCAAATGAGTAATGTTAAACCTATGATTAGATGATGAGGCCATCAAAGACACTGGATCCTAATGCTACATTCCTCTTTATTTCTCTGAACTGCAGTGAAACAGGGAGAAAGGAAAAGGAATTCTAAAACCATTTGTTTGCATAAACCGTTAGGAACAAGGAAAAAGAAAAAGAAGGTGGATCCTTAAAAACCTAAAAGGTCCAGACAGAACTCTCAGAACATCTCTTGAACTCAGCACTTTTTAGCATTAAGTAACAAAATTTTCACATGGCTACAAATGAATTCCTACAGGATATCCTTTTCCTTATCCATTTTTATATCAATATTCTTCTTCACTAAAGAGGTAGAATAAGACTTAATGACTTGCCTATGAATATATTCTTCAGAAAGTAAACCTGAAAGCTGGAAATCAATAGGTAAGTTCTTTCTTTTGTTCTGTCAATGTTTAAAGGATCAATTCATATTGCTGTTTGGAGTAAGCTGTAGTTTTAGCAGACTTCACGCCAGTTATGAGGAATGGTGTAGATTTGTTTTTCTTTCTTTTAGAGAAACTAGAAATAAATGTAATAACTATATAATACAAACATATTGAAGGTCTTTTTTCAGTTTGAAATTATTTAAGTAAGTACAAATGTTTTTATAGGATAATCTGGGTTAGACAGAGTAGGAAAAAGGAAAGACCATTTCTAGTTTAATTATCAGAAAATTGCAATATATACATTTTAAAAAGCTGAATATAGTTGTTAAGGATTCTCATTATTAAAGATAAACAGCTCTAAGATTTTTACAGTTTCTGATCAATTTCTGAATCTATATCTCCATTTTTTATATCACTACACACAGAAAACAAGGAAAGCAATACAACAAAGGTCAGCCATCAGTGAGCTGTATTACATATACTCCGCTTGGCTACTAACTGAAAAAAATCTTTAGTTTTCATAATTATCTAACAAAGAGTAATAAATATTGCAACTAATAATACATTCCAATATTGTGAAATAAATTTCATTAATTTTAAAAGGTGGGGCATTCAGTATTGAAAGATCTACAATAAAGATGAAACAACAGGGAATGACAGAAAATGGGAGAATAAGGAGGGTAGGAGACTAATCCAGTTAAACACAGATAGACACCAGAAAATGGAGGACTGAGGATTAGACAATATCTACATGGTAAGACCATGTACTTTCTAACAATAGCTTAATTAATCTGTTTTCTCTATGGTAACTGAAAGGTGTTTAAAGAAGTCATGCACACACATATATATGTAACATACATTTTATGAATCACACAAAAAAATCCTCATACATATTAAGGAAGTCCGGTTAATGAGATTCTGTACCTGAGAGCAAAGCAGCATAACAAGCTCAACCACAGATGTGCTGGACTTCATACAGACAAGGCCTACAAAATAGAAAGGTTCAAATCATTATACAGTTTTAAGTTATAAAAACTTTGCTTAAAACAAAACTCCTAAAATCAAATAAATGAAATATTCACTAGCATACACTTTGATTTAGATTTCAAAAACATGGGTGAATCACTAAAAAGCAGATTTCATGTTTCATTTACTATTTGGTCACAATATTGTAGGCAAGTGTTGATTATTAAAATTGTTGAGCTAATTAGGACTGTTTTTATCCCCAAAATATTTTTGCTCTGTGATTGTTTCGCATATCATTGAAGATCTTTCTTTGAAAGACCAAATTAAAATAATTTACAAATAGGGAATTTCATATAGCATATAAAACTTGCCAACTAGCTCTGGTAGGAGCTAGTTAAATGTTATAAGTATGTAATAACAGCCATCACTTAATTGGCAATTCAGTAACTGGGAGACATTGTAAGTATCTATGTACACTGTCTCTATTAATTCACATCTTTTAATATTCAGTTCTGCAAGTAAGAAAAGATCTCTTTTAGAAATAATTTAAACATTAATTACTTATCAAAACTCTTCCAGGTAAAAGATGATTCATCTATATTATTATATATGATAAGGTTACTGATCATAATACTAGTTTGAAAATTTTCCAGTCTGTAATCCAGAATTAACAGTTTCTGTGAAAGGGTACGTTAGTTATTATGTTTGTTAACAGAAGACATTCTGAAAGTTTTTGCTGATTTTTAAAGCACTTTTTTGCAACAAATAAATGTATCTTTTAGCAGAAAATTCCCCAGTCTTACATGTGCAGTGGTTAAGCTGAAAACTGAAACAAACTGTTTTTTAAAAACTGATTTCAATAAATGGTCTCAAGAATCTTGTAAAAACACTTGCACGTATATTTATTGTAGGTGGTAGATAAATGGCCTTTTGTACCTTATTGCCAACAACCGTGTTCTTATTGCATCGACAGAACAAACTGTAATAAGGCACTAGTATGTATCATCTTACCAAATCTTTGAGCAGACAGATAATTAATAAAATAAGAAGCAGAAGTAAAAATATCATTTAAGAAATAATTGATCAGCCATATTCTTGATCAGGGACTAGAGTGAGATAGATTAAAAGAATGTTTGTCACCTACTATATGAATTATGACAAAATAAACACTAACAGAAGCCCACAGGATCACAAACTATATATTCATAGTGGTTTAGACATGTGAGAGTGATATACGGAATTATTCATAGTTTATTTGTTGTATTCATTTTAATATATAATACCTTAAAGTAAAAATTAGAAAATGTAATCTTATTTTTTTTTTTTTTGGTGCTAGTGTTAGATACTGGAGCTTGAACTCAGGGCCTTGAGTGGCTCAACTTTCTCACAGTTACTATTCTACTTGAGCCAGGCTTGCAGTTCAAGCTTTGTGCTGACTCAATTTAGATAAGTGACTCACAAATTTGTCTGCTCGGGCTGCTTATGAACCTTGAACCTCCACTCTCAGACTTGTAAGTAGTTCGGATTATATGTATGAGCTACTGGCTCCTGTCTTTGTTCTTTCATTATGAATTAATTTCTTAAGCAAACTTTTAAAAACTATATAATAAGATTCATAATGCTTAGATTGCTTAGATATACTATCATTCTATCATAAAATTACATAAGCAACGACTGGGAAGATGGCTCAGTAGTAGAGTGCTTGCCTTGCATGCATGAGGCCCTGGGTTCTATTCCTCAGTACCACATAAGCAGAAAAAGCTGGAAGTGGCGCTGTGATCAAGTGGTACAGTGCTAGCCTTGAGCTGAAGAGCAGTGCCCAAGCCCAAAGGCCCCACAACCCCCCCCCCAAAAAAAAAAGAAAAGAAAAAGATGGCAAATGCATATTAATGCTTTTTTCAAGGCAATATCAACAAATTGATAGGACAGAAAAACAAATCCATAAACAGTATTTACTCTCAGTATTTTACTGAGTGCAATTTGAACTCCATAGAAAACCCCTGTATGAATGTGTTTTGTCTACTTTTAGATGAAATAAACTAATATATCCTCCTTAAAAGAAAACAGAAACTAACCTTGACAATAAGAACTCAAGTGAAAGCAACCTTCAAACTATTTTTACCTTCAAAAATTATAGTCTCGTTGGAACATTTTCTATATATCAATACAGTATGATCAAAAAACAGTAAAGACCAATGACATTAATATTTAACAATATTATTGGTCAATGACATTGAAAATACAAACTTTGATGATTCTTTATCTTTAATAAAACAGCATTTTTGGGGGCTGGGAAGGTGGCTCAGTGGTAGAGTGCTTGCCTTGCATGCATGAGGCCCTGGGTTCGATTCCTCAGCACCACATAAGCAAAAAAAAAAAAAAAGCCGGAAGTGGCGCTGTGGCTCAAGTGGTAGAGTGCTAGCCTTGAGCTGAAGAGCTGAAGGACAGCACCCAGGCCCAGATTCAGGCCCCATGACCGGACCCCCCCCCAAAAAATAAAGAAAATAAAACAGCATTTTTATATAAAATTTTGAGTTGTATGTAACAAACATGACCTTGTATAACTTTAATAAAAAAGCTCAAGACAGTCAAATTTATGTGGTGAGGCTATAAATAACTCCTATGTGATAAATACATTAAGCAAATATTTTGCCAGTAAATGTCTCACACATAGTTTATCTTATTCTTATGTAGCAAGAGATTCATAATTCAATCATGCTATGCGATGTTTCCTTATGAGAAAATGATAATGTTAGAACTTGAAAGACAATAGTAATAAACAAGACATTATAATAAGTGTAAGTTTGATAAGAACCCAAGATAGTACTTCAAATTAAGGTTCACTTAAATTTATATGTATTATAAGCCATTTTTTATATATGCTGTGTCATTTAATTCTCTTAGTAACTTGAACTTTGAAATAGTTTGAACTATTTATTAATCAATAAATAGATGATAGTAGATGACTAGTCAAGATAAATTCAGTAAGTTGTGCAATTAGCATCTGAGGTCAAGTCATATAAAAATATCATTAATATTTGCTACAGAACTATATGGATGATTCAGCATTAACAATATATGATTATAGGAAAGGCTCTGATGGTTAATTCCAACCATAACTTTGACGGTTTTCTTAGTGAAGGTACTTATCAGAGATGGGAGGGAATAATAGTTAACACAAAAGGTACAGAGGAAGTAATGCACAAAGAGAGAAAAACATTAAAAAGAGCTTTACAGCTTGGAAGCTGAATGACTGTAGTGCAGGGGATATTTGAAAAAGCAACTGGAAGACTAGGTTACAATTCAAAAAGTAAAAATTAAAATAAAATACAATCAGAAATGATTTTGAAAGTTCAAAGAAAGAATTTAGACACAATTATAAAATGGGGGATGGGTATGTATGACATTCCTATTCAGAGATGTCAATCTGTGCTTCGACAGCACCTAAGAAGTTGTACATGCATAACTTCACCACAAAAATCCAGTTAGCATTATGAACCACCGCATAGCACATTTTCACGAGAAAAGAAAATTGCCATAATATTCCGACCAGAAATACTAATCCAATACTGCAAACTGCAGTAGCTTACCATCATAAAACGAACAACTGGAATAGAGACAATAAATATTTGAGGGCCTGACAGAAAGAAATCTTGTACATAAGAGGTCTTTCAGAGTGTGGGAACTTGCTGTACCACAGGCATGATCAATTGGAAGGAAGTGAAGAAAGTAGGTGACTTTACTAAGACAGACAATGGTGGTAGGGAATCTTGAGAACTTCATGGAAACGATAAAGTACAGAAGTACAGAAAGTGTAGCCAGCAAATTTGCCTGGAGAAACTTTATTTATGCTAATGATTTTCAGCCTATTCATGTAGTCAAGAGAGAGAGAGAGAAAGAGAGAGAGAGAGAGAGAGAGAGAGAGAGATAAGATAAAAATGGAACTGGAATGTAAGGCTATACATCATAATTATAGCTTTACTTTTCTGCTAAAATAATGATTGCCTGATTGATAGTTATAATAAGTAGTTTATCTCTCAGACTAGAAAAAAGAGGATGATTTATATTCCTTTATATATTAATTCCAATGGTTTAAGGAAAAGTACATTAAAATCTTGCTATTAATGGCTTCCCTCAATATTGTATTAAAGCTAAGCAACTGAATTCATCAGGAAACTAGAAATTTAATATCTTAAATTTCCCACCAAAATTTCTCATACTTTTGTAGCTAAACATTTCAATAGAGCTCCCACAAACAGAATTGAAGCATTTTGGAAGTTATATATATATATATAATTTATTTTATTTTATTGTTTAAAGATTAAGAATGCTGAAAGGTGGGAAGAAGGCCGAGCAACTACAGCATTAAGATCTAACAAACCACACAGTGATGAGCTGCCTTTGCTTCATATATCCCAGAGTTAGAGGGAAATAGGACAGTAACTCAGACAGATCAATAAGTATTTTGCCAAACTTTGCTCTATGTAGTCTGAGGAACAAGAAATGAGCAATCTAGAAGAAAGAAAAGTACACCTGCTGTACTAAACAATTCATTATAGTTACATAATTCCCAAATATTCATTTTGACTGGTTTATTAATCTTTCCAGTATGTTTTCCAGTGATGGTTCTTACAGATTTTTTAAAGTGATCAGACTCAATTATGAACTGAGATGAAGAGAATATTCTAATAGCCTTATTAACATTAGTATTAAACCAATTAACTGTAAAACCTTGGTCAAAATTACTCTTTTTGTTGTTGTTGTTGTTGGTAGTGGTCCTGGGGCTTGAACTAAGGACCTGGACACTGTCCTAAGCATTTTTTCTCCACTTTGAGCTGCAGCTTTATGTCTGGTTTTCTGGTGGTTAATTGTAGGTAAGAGTTTCATGGACTTTCCTGCCCTGGGTGGCTTTGGACTTCAATGCTTAGATCTTAGCTTCCCTAACAGCTAGGATTACAAGCATGAACTACCAGTGCCTGGCTTCAGAAGAATTACTTTATGTTAGAAATTACATTTGTGC